TCTCCCAGAAGCAGATGGTGGCCCCAACAGCCATCTTGGTGCATCCCCAGAACAGGGGAGGAACCATGATCAAAGAAAGGCCTGGCCATGCTCAGTGTGGGGCTCCAGAAGGACCTGCTGCATGGCAGCATCTGTGTGCAGCTCTCCACAGATCCACAGAAGAGGCAAAGCCAAATCCAGAAGAACCAGCACCTGGTCCATGAGGCCAACAACTCATTGGCGCCAGTTTCAGGCCATGAAAGTAACTTGAGCAGAAGATTTCATGTTTTTTTAATGAGATATATAAGGTTTATGATAGCATTAATGGGTTTCCATGATTTTGCCATTCCATGTTTTCATTTTGCATTCAGGTTACTTGTCATTGGGATGCAGCCATACAGTGGCATTCATGAGGGCAGTCCGCCATGGCTGCAAGGACCCCAATGGCCAGCTACCACACATTCCCAAGAGTGACCCCATTTGGGAAGCCATCCATGATGGCTGGTGGTGGCGTGTCATCTCCAGCCATCCGAAACCAAAGCTGCCATCATTCGTCCAGATGGCATTGAATGCCAGCAACAGCATCCACAAGGCCATCAATGAATTGGAGGTGGCATGCCAGGCAGCCACCATATGCGAACAGACCCAGAGTCTGGAGCAGGCCTGACCACCATCAGCCAAGGAGATTTGCAATGCCGCAGCTCCCTCAAAGCCATTGGGCACTATGTCACCATGTATGCTGGTGGCCATGGATTTCCACTCCTCAAATTGCTGGCAAACTTCGGCACCATCTTCAATGCCACTTTGCTTCTTGGCCAAGAGTTCATGGGTGCCTTGGCACACCGCAAATTCAACCATCCCACATGCATATTCCCCATGCTGCGAACTGCCATCTGGGCAACCATGCTCACCACAAGCAAGAGCATGGAGGGGTATGCAAGGTTGCTGTCCGCTCACCCTTGAGCAGAGCCATGCAGGCAGAGGATGCCTGGCAGATAATCCAGGCATCCATTGGCAGCCCTGCCACTTGGACAGGGCAAGATGCCAAGACAGAAGACAAGGCCAAGCGTGGGTACAAGTGCTTCGGCAAGCTTNNAGAAGAAGAACACCCATGAGAGCAATGAGTACAAATGCATGGAGGAGATCACCCTGCAATTCACCAAAGACCTCCAGGCCCAAGACCAGACTGATAATCAGAAGAGTGCTGAGGAGCAGCCCAGCAGCTCCAGGCAGCAGGCGCAAGATGCAATTTCAGCATCTCCAAGCACCATAGCCCTGCTCCAGAACAACCACACGGAGCTGCGTGGCATGTTTTTCGGCCATGCTCAGAATCAAGGTTTCTCACTGTTCTTTTCATATTTCAATACACATAATTAGGATCAAGGTTTATTTGCCATGCATGTTCCCAAACAGGTACTGCCTGCCCGAAGAGCATGGAAGCCAGGTCTTCCAGCTGACAAGCATTTCACAGACCCATTTTTGGCCCCAGAGTGCATTGTCCAGGTGCCACTGGACCAATTGAAAAGGTGGCGAGTGCAGGACATGCCAGTGCTGGCCAGTCCAGAGATCATGGGCAAGGGACTGCCACTTGCCAACCTCCAAGTGGTGGAAGATTTCCAAATCACAATGGCTTTGCATGAGGCCACACTGTGGGAGAGACCCAAGTGGCCTGCACCATCAAAAAGACACAATTCAAGCTGGTCTGACTGGGCCCCATCAGCAAAGAGGGCCAGGAGCCCAAGCTGTACACACAGCATTTTGGAGCCAAGGGCCATTGGCAATTGGAAGCAAAATGCTTCATTGTCCCAGGACCATGATGGCATCTGGTTCCATTTTCACGGGTCAAGGCAGCCCCCACAGCTGAGGAAGCCAATTTGCAATGGGGCCACGAGGATGGCATTGACATTCCCATTCTTCTGCCCAAGCATGGCATTGAGAAGAACCAGCAGCTGCTCCATGAGCATCCCAGCAACATGGCCCAAGCCAAGAAAAAGGCCAAAAAGGGCTGATTCCATTTGCCATTGTACAAAGGCATGCAGCACCTTCCTGCAAAGCAAGTGCCAAGAGAGCAAAAGTGCAGTGTAGGTTTGCAGTTTAGAATAGGCAGTCCTGGTTCGAAAACCTACCCCAAACCCTTAACCTGAAACCCTATATAATTAAAACCATAATCTTCATAAACATGTACATGACAATCCTGCAGATTCCCATGCGAGCCTTGAACCCTATAAGGTTTATCAAACTTATAATAACCTTATATAAGTAAAAGCTTGTAGTCCAGACTCAAACATCACATTTGTCTTCTGAGAATGGGAGCCTATATGGCTTTTCCAGATTTTTTTGCAGAGCCATTGGGCTTTACCAGGTCTTTGCTTGCAAATCCTGGCCACATCAGTTGTCCATGTTGCATGCTCATGATCCATGTGTTTTTCATGTCAGTCCATGTGCATGTTGCAGGTTGCAAGCTCATGCTTGTTGTGCATGCTGCAGCCATTGCCTTTGGGCCTTCAAGCCAGTGGGCATTCCAATTGTCCAAGCCACAGCTGCCATTGCTCCAGCCATGGCTGCCCACCAGCCATGGCTGCCCACGTGGCGCACTGCAAAGAACACCTTGGGGGTGCTCCACTTGGTATAAGCAGAAGTCCCGCAGCAGTGCCCGGATCCTCCGGATTGCATGTGCGGCCAGCGGCGACCTTCTCGGCTTCACCTTCTGTGGAACTGTGATCGATCGCGGCTCCTACGAACAGAGTGGAGGAGAGGATGCTGGCGCGTGGAGTCCCGGAGGTCCCCTTGCCCCCGGTGGTCCTCGACTACGACAAGGCGATCTATGCGGCCACGGACGGCAGCGCTGTGGACACAGTTGCGGCTTGGGTGGTGGCTTTCGAGGGCAACCTTGACTTCTCCCTCAACGTTGCGGGCGAGGACCAAACCCCGTTTCGAGCGGAGGTGGAGGGGCTTTTGGCAGTGGCTCGAGCCCTGGGTCGTTACAAGGCTTCAGGTGTGGTGCACGTGCTCTCAGACTGCACCTCTGCGCTGACTACCGTGCAGACCGGCGGCAAGACTCGTTGGTTGGGCGTGCGGGCCCTGGACCTCTTCGAGAGCTTCAGGGGCCGTATTGAGGTGCAGTTGTGGTGGATCCCTTCGCACGGGAAGATCGCCCCGGCATGCTGGACCTTGCGGGGAAATGGTTGCCAGGGCTTTGAATGCCCGTGCTGATCGGAATGCACGTGCCACTGCGATTCGCTGTGCCAATGGAAGCGCTTGCCAAGCTTGCGCTCGTGCGAGGGAGGCTGCCTTTGCCTGGGAGAAGCAGGCGCACCAGTCGCTCCGGCTGGTTGCGCAGCGCTGGGCTGATGCCTAGCTGAGCTGCGGGAGATCGTCTACGACTTCGACATCGTGGCGATCATGAACCTTAAGAAAACCTGAACTGTAACCCCTGAACCTAGAAGCTGAACCCTAATGAATTAAAACACCCCTAAGTAACCCCTAACTGACTAAAATCGAACCGCTAACGTTTCCAGAACAGAGCATGGAATTATACCGCTCCACTTGTTAATCATCCGCTCAGACAAGAGTTAGCTCTATTCCGTACCCTTTGTATTGTTCCGCTGAGGCCCAATTTTGCTTTATTCCAACCCCAATTACTCATCAGAATTCCCCATTATTACATTTCTTCTTTCTTCACCCGTAAAGCTACTGCCACAACAGCAACATACAGCAACCGTTGCCATGACCCTGCTTTTCTCTCTATATCAAGCTATACCCTATCTATCACCCATACATTATCACTATAGGGTAGCATCCCGACTTCTCTTGCTGCCTGCCAGGAGCCAGCCAGCTGGCCTTGGCGCCGCCTCGCCACAGGCGCAACCGCGCAACAGTGAAAGCAGAAGTGACATTGTTATCTGGGTAGTTCCCAAAATTAGGGTCCCTTTTGGTACGCCCAAATATTAGGTGCCGTAATATAATCTATAACCTAGAGGGGCCCATAATTTTGAGAACAACCCATTCGTTTTCTTGATGCTACTACTCTTCCTACTGGGCCACTAGTATCACTGGTAGTGTGCTTGTGGTAGTAGTAGTAGTAGTAGTACTAGTGGTAGTAGTAGTAGTAGTAGTAGTAGTAGGTTAGCAGCAGCACCAACCGCAGGAGCAGTAGCAGTGCAGAGCACTAGTCTTCGTTCTATTAGCAGCAGCGGTAGTAGCTGTAGCATTAGCAGCAGTAGCAGTAGAAGTAGCAAGGGGAGGAGTAGTAGTAGTAGTAGTAGTAGCCATCGTCGTCGTCGTCGTCGTCGTCGTGATGGTCGTGGTCGTGGTCGTGGTCGTGGTCGTGGTCGTGGTCGTGGTCGTCGTCGTGGTCGTCGTCCTCGTCCTCGTCCTCGTCCTCGTCCTCGTCCTCGTCGTCGTAGTCGTAGTAGTCGTAGTAATCGTAGTAATCGTAGTAGTAGTAGTAGTAGTAGCAGTAGTAGTAGTAGTAGTAGCAGCAGTAATACTAATGCTACTATTATTTGTATGACAATAATAATATTATTGCTACTATAGCAGCAGCAGCACCGGCTTGTGGTCAGGGGTAAATTCAAAGTACTTTGTGCGTCAAATGCAAACAGCCTGACTGGCTTCGAGCTTTGAATGGGGTCTTCGGAGTTGTTGCGCCTTTGAGGTAGGGAGGGAAGTCGCTGACACGGATAGTGCCCGACGCACGCACAGGATTGCTGCTGGCAGCTATGCGTGCTGGAGCCCTCTGTGATGCGTAGAAAGCCCTGTTCGCGGAGCACTGAATGCCAGAGTTCTGGCTTGCGCACGAGAAGCTGACTATCATCACGCGTACAAGCGCCGCACAAAAGCATGTACCAGCTCTAGCCTGCCGACAGCATGTGGGTCAGTCTTGAGAAAGGTTGCCCCTCAAGTGCAATATGCCCCGCAGAGAGAAAGAGCGACCACAGGACGGACAGAGTATTTTCTGGCTATGACGGAGCATTTTGTCTCAAAACGTCGCACCCTTGTCGCTGCTATAGTGCGAAGCCATGGTGAGCCCGGCGATGCTAAAGGGCATGAACACAGAGGCCAGCGGCCAGCATGTCGCAACCCTCTCCACTCCTGCTTTCGGAAAGTCGCATGCTGAGGTCTATGGCGAAGGGCACCCCTTTGGCGACCCTTCGTGGTACCAGGCATACAACACGCCCTACTACAAGGACAGCCACAAGCAATTTCGAAAGCTGATGAGGGAGCCGCTCGGTCCCCGTCAGTCCATCTCGTTTGCTTGAGTTGGCCCTGCAAAGTATAGAGCATGTGAAGCCGACCGTTTGACATGACTCAGGTACGTGGACGAGCACATTATGAGCAACGTGCACGACTGGGTGGGCCGGTACGCATCACACGTCGTGTTTTCAATCGTTCTTTTGTGGATGTATTGAGAAGTTCTTTGTGCAAAGACACCAGTCGGAGCATGCAGAAGTGCTACAGCTGAGGATGAGAAAGGCGTCATTCCCAAGGAGATGCCGGTTGGTAGCATCTGAGACTGTGCAGACCGTGTTAGGTTGCTGCAAGCTTCCGTCTGTACATGCTTGTACTTCGCACAAGGTACCTGGAGGCAGGCAAGCA